ATTTTACGTCCGCTTCCACCGAGGTGACATCGCAGACAATTTTGTGTCATTAAATTTTGCTTTATATTGTTCACGCGGGGTAATTAACAATGTGTAATTGTAGATGATGTCACACTCTACTATTTAGTCTGGTTATTAAAAACAATAGGTTTTCACACTGTGGGAAATTTGACGTGTACGAGTCACGTGCTGCATTAATATATTGGATATAGTTATTAATATGTGTAATTAAAAGTTAGATGTGTTATTATTTATAAAATATAGACTGTGTTTCCGAGTGAATGCCCTCGACATAAATCTATGTAATAATGTAATGTAGCACTGATGTTGGAATAGGTTTCGTATTTGGTCTTGTTTTGACATTTAGTGGTGTACGATAACAGTATATTTTTGTTTTTGTTGACATGTAAAATAATAGAATTTAAAATTGTAAATGATTAGGTTAAAAGGTCACATTACTGAAGGGGAAATATAAAATAATAATGTAATTTTTTTTGCGGAATTTTAAAACGAAAATGCAACTATAAAATTGTAGATTACTGAGTTACGGTCAAGAGGTCAAAGTTAGTTTGTAGATTTATAATTAAAGAGACGCATCAAAGTTTATTTCATAATTAAAAGAAGTTTAATTTTAATTAAAAGTAGGAGTTAATAATAAGATTTAGGAATAATAATGTTAGATTGGTATTAAAATAAAGTTTTAAATTAGGAATAGTTAGTTCTTGGTTTGATGACAATGACATGTTTGATTGGCGGATAGAAGAAAAAGAAAGTTTTCAATTTAGACTATGGTAGCTAAAACAGACCAATAGAAATCAAGAAGAAGAGATGGTTTACCAATTTACCAATTGAGATTTCCTGATACAGAAGTTAAAGTCAAACTGAACATCAAAAATATTAAGTGTAGTGTTTTGAAATTAGATGGTTTAAACGATATTTTTATTCAAGTACATAAAGAATATTTACAACACTCTTGTAATGAATTAGAAAACAAGCCGAAGCTTATATAAATTCCTCTCCATGTAAATTATACATTTCAATACAATTACTAAAATGTACATAATGTATAAGTATATATTACATATTTACATACACAAATAAATAAATAAATAAATAAATAAATAAATAAGTTATCATTATCATCATCATCATCATCATCATCATCATCACCGTCATTTATCATTAATCACCATCGCCTGCTAATTCTTATTTATTCAAAGAGTTTAGTTAGTTTAAAATACTTGTGAACTTGACTAAAAATGACTTCGTTGTACGAGATACTTTCGTTGGGATCCCCATAAAGAAAAGCTTTTGATTGTTTGGATTTAAGTGGTAGGGTATTTAATGTTGTGTTAATCTGAGTGGCATAGTTGGGGCAATGGAGAAAATAGTGAACGCTGTCTTCTAGGATATGACCACATCTGCATGTCGGATTTTCAGAAATATGCATTAAAATCTATGGAAATTTAGAGCACTTTTACATGGCTACGAAGTCTGGAATGGATAATCTGAAATTTACGTTCACCATAGTAATAATATTCGGGTATTTTATGGTCATTCGCACTTAATTTAATTTTGTAATTTTGTATAGTGGATGCGTTTTGAATATCATGAGAAAGGCTGTTCCAAAGCTCAACAGTTGAAGGTAAAAAAGAGTTTTTATAATAATTAGTGTTAGCAGCAATACGTTTCAATTGATTGTTATTACGAACAGGGTAAGGATTTACTTCAGAAATTGTACGTGGTACTAGTAGGCTTAAAAAGGGGGGGAACCATTTTATTGACCATTTTATACATAAGAATGAGCTTGTGCCTAATACGTCTTGTTGATAGTGGGTTATATCCAGATTCATAGTAGAGTACGTTATGGGAAGTGCCGCGAACAAGACCTGTTATTGTTCTCAGTGCATCTAAATGGAGATTTTCTAATTTTAAGGACTTGAATTTGTTACAGTTGTCTCAAACGACGCCAGCATAGTCAAATAAGGGTAAGATGAATGCATTGTAGATAATTTCTAGAGACTTACGAGAAATGCGATATTTTAAACCACGGAGACAGTCAATAGAGCGTTTAACTTTAGATATTACATATTCAATATGGTTGTCCCACTGACAATTACTTTGTAAAATAAGACCAAGATGTTTGTGGTATATCGATTCCTGAATATTTATGTTGTTAAAATTTAATTTAAAAGAAGTTTGGAATTGTTTTCTAGAGAATGTCATTTAAAATGTTTTCAGGGGGTTAAATCTTACTTTCCATTTAGTCGACCAGTTGTTAATCAAATTTAAATCTAAATTTAATACGTTTTCACATTCGCCTAGGTTTTGCAGATATATTTTGTAAGAAATTAAACAATTTGGAGAGGGGCCGATTTAATAACGTAGCACAATTTTTCAAAATAATGTTGCTAATTCTGTCAGGTCCACTGGCTTTATTTGTCGAAAGTGAGATTAACTGATCGCGTACTTCAGCTGTTGTGTAAACAGGTTGTTCAATTTCAATCGGATTAACGTAAAGTTGCGGTGGCTCATCGTTGGGATTCTCAAGATGAGACTGACTGGAAAAGTAATCATTTAAAATATTAGCTTTTTCACAATCGCCATAAAACAGTCTATCATTAACTTTCAGGATGGGGAATTCCGTGGGGAACTTGCCGGTATGAACAGCATGACTTTTAACAAGATTTAATAAACAATTACAATTGTTTTTTCTGTGTTTAGGTTAAAGTGAATTATCATAGGCCTTTGAAGTGCAGTGATGAACTTTTGGAGATCGATTGCATGTGATTTTTGTTTTTGATTTTGGTTATTTGTGTTTTCATTGATACTTTTATTCTTGAAACAGATTGAAGCAGATTGTGATCATTTGTAATCGTGTATGTTAATCGTATAGTAATCGTATATATGTGCATTTTGCATGAATAATTATATGGTTTAGTAAATGGAAGTGTTTAAGGGTCTCCTACCTGTTAATTTCTCACAAATCGCAAAACAGAGGGAGGTAATATAATATCGATGGCGAGATTTGTGCTACATGTATATTTATATAATCCTATAGATGTTGGTATGGTCGTCGTAAAGGTTTCAGGGGATCTTTTACCTAATATCGAGCAAGAAGTCTTAAGAAAGGGAGGAATGTAATAAGATTGGTAGAATGTTTGCTCTTTAAATTAAAGCATTGTATTAATATTATATCTTTAAATAATTATTTGATTCAAACATTTATGCATTAAAAATATAAGTGACACATAAAAAGAGTTATAATTTGTTAATCATAGCTAGTTCCGTAGGAATCAGAATATCACGTGATTGGAAATTTACTAACTGCATCATTTGGCTTAAGTAACTAATCATATCAGTAATTGCACAGATTCAGGATCATGAATAGACTGACCTGTGCGTGATTTTCTTATGGGTACTATAAAAGAGAACCTGGCAAGCTTTTAAGTTTAGATATCCTAGGGGGCTCACGGTGGCTAAGCGGGTAAGACGCCGGCTCGCTAGTCTGGAGGTCTGGTGTTCGATCCCTGCATTGGCCCAGAAAGTTCATCCAGATTTTCCGGCGTGGTTCCCCCTTGTCAGTGATGCAGGACGGCGGGCCTGACAAGGGCAACTGTCTAGCCGTCGGATGGGACAAAAACCGAGGTTCCGTGTACACATTGGCGTGTACGTAAAAGATCCCTTGACAGTTGGAAATCGATATAAGAGTAAGCCGTAGTGCCGCTGTCCGGGCAAAGTTTCCCTCATAGCACACTGCATGGCGTATGCCCGTCTTCATTAGCCAAGTTCGGGGCAGGGCAGCAGGACGTTAAACTCCATTTCATTTCATTTCGGTTCGGGACAGATACCATCCGAGTTCCTAGGGACTGCCGCTGAATTCTCAGAGAGGGTAGACATCACTTTGGTTCTTTAGATGCCCAAATGATATAGCCGTTTCCCGAGTCTAATCATGCTGGTTAGACTTTTACAGGAGTTGGGGTTGAGAGAAAGATGTTTTAATTTTAAATATGCTAATGTAATATATTATGACTGTAATCTACGTAACTCGGAGCTAATATAAAACTGTAATCAAGAAAATCTTGTATTTGTTGTTCCTGTTAATCATATTAATTAAGACCGTCTTCATTATCCCAGTTCGGAACAGAACAGTGGGACGTTAAACCCCATTTCATTTCATTTCACTAATTAAGATGCAGTACATGTATATTCAATCACACTGTGAAGCTGTCATAAATGTGGAATGACAAAGATACGTCCTAACCAGGTAAAGAATTACAAATACAACCAGAGACAATACTAGACGATCAAGGACTGTTCCAAGGTATGTAGTAAGAAAAGGGAGTGTCACACGTTGGATGTGGGGAGTTTTTGTTTAATTGTATTTTCCACATCTAACCAGCGACTCATAGCACTGCATGGTGCTACATATGATGTGCAGAATATAGAAATCGATAACATAGTTTTCATTTCGGAAACTGTTTTTAAATACATGTCAGTGATAGTGTTCATTATGGGGCCATCTTGGATTTTTTAAATTGACGAATGGTTTTTTGACCACCAAAATCAGAGATCTAACATGCCTATGTCAAAATCCCTCGACGGATAGGTAATTGAGTCCATACTAAAAGCGGTATTGTTGAATTCGTGTAAGAGACTGGTCTTGTTGATTTAGTAGGTTTGACTGTGGGATTTGTTTTGAAATGCAATCGTTGTAGCACACATCATTACACAGTGTCGTGAGTATAAATGCCTGGCCAAGAAAATAAATGTAATTAATTTTAAATAATATCATATTCAACATAACCCTAGAATCAATTAATTATCCAAAATAAATTTGATTAATTTTTAGTAAATTGTACCTAAAAAAGGCTTTTTCTAATATTGTATTTGAACACGACCATGTAATGTATAGTCAAATTATTGTTAAACAACTAGCGAAGACTCAACAGCACTAACGTTCCTTTAAAAAAAATAGAAAATAAAAACAACAACTGAGGTCTTAGAATTCGTTTTATTAGAAACATATGTTGCCAGATATTAAAACCTTACCCCCCCCCCCCCACAGCTTAGTCGTCCTGATGTTGTCGTCACTTTAATGTTTTGAAAACATTGACTTTGATTACAGGTGATTGGTGACAAAGGCAATAACTCTAAATTCAACCCCAACTGGTCCAGAAGTTTGACGGCCCGACAGACAGAGGTAACGAACGATAATATACGAGAATATTAACACATGTACATATTATAAAGAAAAAAACTATTGTATCAAAATATGTTAAAGTCAAAATAAACCATAACAGATAATTATCATTATTGGGAGAATTCCAAAATTGAGCAACAGAACAGTTTTATCACAGGATACATATATCTGGTGGATTGTATGTTTACAGAAGCAAGATTATAATAAGCATTGTGGTATACACACTATAAAAATACACGCATACACAACATATAGATGCTATACAATAACAAAATACTGGTATATAAAGCCTCAACATTCGAAAGCCGTAGTTAAATTTACACAAGGACTTTACGCAACCAAAAGCACTTATATTTCAAAAGATTATTTAAAAATCGATCTATTTTATAATCTTCATTTTACACTTATCAAAATTTATGAAAGCTGCAGATATAGAGAATCTCCTGCCTACGAGTCTTTTTTTTACAGATCTTCGGTTTTTTGGGGTTTTTTTTTACTTTATCGACGAGTGTTGATATTTTTTGATATAAAAAAGACCAGTAGGAATTTTATTTATCACCCAATCCTTTCTTACATGCATTTTTAATAAAAAAGAAGTTAATTTTAATAAAAAATGAACTGCTCTTCGAAAATACAAAAAAGTAGTTCCTTTTTAAATGACCAATGAAATTCATGTAAAGGAGATATCGCAGTAGATTATGATATTTATCACACAAGCGATATCTACTGTATAATGTATTATTGGGTGATAAAAACAGTTATTTTGGACAAACTTGTTATTTTAATAAAGGCTGGTAACAAAGGATACCACCAGCACTAACATTAAACTGGACTGCACTGTAAAAGAAAAAGAAAGTCATACAAATTAGCAGTTTTAAAACACCAAACATCAATTTAAAAAAGTACACAACGATAAATACGATTTTCAGACTCCGTCGCATTCTTCCATATTGGAATCAAGCAAAATTAACCACAATTCTTACTAAATTAAAGCGTGCATATTAATTTTTAAAAAAAAACCCAGACGATTACGGTTATATCTAACTTATATCAAAAGTATCACCAATAAATCAGTTTTGATAAACTCTTTAATTTGTATGGATATTAACAGTTGAATTCCACCAATCGCAACCGACCGTGTACTTAAATTAAACAAAACCATCTCTATGCCAATAAAATATCTGTATTAATAGGAAGTGTATTACCTGAAATGGCTGTATTGCCTTCTCCAGTGGTAACAACTGTTGTTGTTTCTTCAAAACCACCTTCATCTATAAAATAATAATAATTAAAAAAAAAGATTTGGTGGGGTTTTTTTTTAAGTATAAACAAAACAATAAACTAAAATGTGCCTGATTATTCCTTACTTTCTCATTTGCAACCAAAAAAACCCCTCTTAACTGGGATAATTTCACATGATATAATATTTGAGAAAACAATATACAATTATTGAATTAAAATGAGGTAGGTTTAAATGTTTGCTGTAAATCAATATTCATATTATAAAAATGTATTACCTGGACAGTGAACTTTAACCTGGTTGAGCAAATTGGTTAGAGTTTGGGTCACAGTAGCTGTTTGGTTACAAGTTTGACTATATCCAGTCGTACACTTCAGTATTGATTTAAGTGAGCTGTAATGATAGTCAATAATCTGTCATGTATAATATCTTCAAGGTATAAATCTTTTTTATATCAAGCGATGAAAATGTTAGATAACTACACATTTGCACAGTTTGTGATTCACATCTACAATACTAACAGTGGTTAGGGTTGTTAACCGGTTCGGTGGACGTCTAAAAATATATTCTATGTGAAAAACTGTTATCGTTTTTGTACAAAAAAATCAGTCGCCGACTACGTTCTTAATAGACGCAGTGGTCGCGCATACAATTGACTGAAGTTTATACACCAATAAAACTATAAATTCGGCATTCGGTAGTTGTCCTTTAATCTGTTTCGGATAATAGATATTTTAACTGATATATATTACCGCTAAGTTTTTAACATAATGATTGTGTATAGTAATAGCGAAAAAAGAGCGAATTTGAAGCATTAAAAGTCATTCAATTCTTAACGCAAACATAGCTTTATGAAAGTTACTTGTTCGGATAAAACAAAATTCTTAATACAATGAATTTCTATTCTTTTCGATCTCAGAGACGATCTTTTAAGTATTTTGTAAAAAAACATATCTTAATCCACTTCTATATCACTAATAGCTATAGTAAACTACATACTTGCACCAGAATGTTTGGTCGGAGACTTTGTCCGTGATCTCGGCAACACCCGAGGGTAGGTCAATCTGCATACAGACTGATGCTTGCTGGCAGATCGCAAAATTTGGAAACACTACAAATAAATTATGATAAAAATGTAGACATGTAAAGATTTATATTTATTTAAGAAAATAATAATAATATCAACGTTAATAATAAAACAAAAATATGATAGAAAAACAATAATTCACAAACGATATACAACTTTTCCAATAAAGTCTCTATTTTCATTATGAGCTTATTCAGCTGTTGTTAATATTATATTTGGATATATTAAGTTCTGAACAATACCCCAAAGAAAATGAACGCACCTGAAGTTAAATCATAAAGGTGTAATAACAACATACCTGTACAAGACTGTGTAAACAATTTTTGAATATCAACTAAACTATAACTGGCCTTCACTTTACTTGATTCACCACAAGTGTCTAAAGCTGTAGTAACACATGTTACAAAGGCCGGAATATTACTTAAAAAAATAATGAAAATCAGCTATATACCTCTCTATACATGGAGGAAGCAAAATAATGTCATGATTAAAGCTCCAGTAACAAAACACGGAATATATTTTACTGCCAAAAATGAGAAGAAAAAATCAGGTATTTAAAGCTATAGCTATACGCGATGCAAAATCGTAATTATTTTTCTTATAACATTCAATTTTCACATTGACCCAACGACACATATTGTAATTTAAAATCTCAATGAACAAATTCCAAATCATTGAAATATCTTTTATAGGTTTGACGAAGGAACAGGCATAAATTAATATGTGTTTACTCACGGACATGATTGCACCAGGGATCCGCCGCTTCCCAACGTGACCAAACATCCTGCTACTCCTGGACAAGGATTTCTAACTGAATAACATAATATCAAAATACATTGATCATACCGATGCTGATATGACGCAATGATCAAGACTAAAAATACACATAATTCCTGTAGGGCTGGAATTCGAAGATGAACACAAAATAATCATCAGACATAATATGTTAGCTACAATAATGGAGTAACATGTATTCTAAAACTATTTCAAGCTCATGCTGGCAATTAAATCTAAATCTCCAGTCATAAAGTCAGTTTTCTGGAAACTGGGTTAATACTGTATATTTACATTGTGTTGGTTGCTTACACCACAATATCTCTGATTAAAGACGTGTCGATATCGGGCTTGTGACCGCTTTTGTATAATTCGATTTGTCCCTTGATAAATGCAAGTAACTCGCATTTTTATTGCAACTAAAATTATTGTGGTGACCGAACTAAGACTACTATGTAAACTGTTTATTGACTGGTTCCTAAAATATAATTTGAATTTGTGAAAAACCCGTGGATGGACCCAGAGATTAGTTGAATAGAACGGAACGATACCACTGGGACACCGAAAACGACAGACCGGTTAGATCTAAATATTAAAGCCAGCTTAACCTCTCCCCCAAAATTCTTTAACCTAACCCTTGACATAGCCCTAACCCTTACCCTAACCCAAAGTCTTCGGAAACAATCACCTCAAATAAACCAAGTTTACATGACGGAATCTGGAGGTGCCCGCAATACTTAGATCTGATCACGACAACCCTGTTCCATAACCGTTCGACCACCGCCTTTTATTTAAATAGATATTTTATTCACTATAATTGAATGGGGAATCGATTAAAAGACAAAATCACTATGCCAGACCTATCCATTTAACCTTGTGAATGATTGGACGAATGCTATTTTTTACATAAAACGCTTACCGCCATTACATATTGCATCAGTAGATGTCTTTATAGCTGCTGCATCAGTCACACTATTTCCTCCTAGATTACAAGGTGTAGTTGAAGCTGATACACATTTAGATATACCTTTAGCCATTCTAGTAAAACACAATATACACATTTAGATACCTTTAGCCATTCTAGTAAAACACAATATACACATTAAGATACCTTTAGCTATTCTAGTAAAACACAAAGTACACATTTAACCATTCTAGTAAAAGGCAATATATACAGAGAATACACAATTTTAGGTGATGTGATAAAGTTTAACCGGAAACAAATTTAGGTTAAAGTACACATCCCTATTTTTTTTTTTTTTTTTTTTTTTTTAGCCTAAACTGTATTTGTCTCATTTCCAAGGCCCTATAACTCGTTATTGGTGTGATTTGATCTAGACACATTCCAACATCTGGATTTCGGTATTATTTCCAATAATCTTACTCAAAACGTAAGCTAGAAATGCCAGGAAACAGATAATACGACCCCAACTAAAACAAAAATCATAATTTATTTTAAAATTCCGACCCTCTTTTTTGTGGCATAGTAACTGTAAACAAAACTATTTTTTTTCTGGCCTTAGCACATTTCCAGACAAGATATAAAATAGCGAGAGTGGTTTATACGAAAGATAAAGCATACTTATGATTACTATATTTCTCAGTCAGATAAAAATGTCAATGTGAAATTCTAGAATCCAACGGAAACTTTAATGGTCCCAAGTTAAACGGTATAAATAATCCTTGGACCATTTGGATTGTGTATCGTATCAATATCAATATTTAACCATTATTCTAGCATCCTGCACAATCAGTCTTAAACATATACTTTGGTTACCAATGGGGAGCTAGGTATCGCTACGTTTGCTTCTCTTTAGCACGGGATTTCTCATAGAAAAGACCCATTTTATAAGTTAAAATCAAATAGGGTGTGATTAGAAAAACTATGCATTTTACATTATTGACAATACTCGGGATAGTAATCTGAAGAAAGGCCAAGACAATCCCGATTCCCAATAAGCTACATTGTCTTGTCGAAATCGTCATACTGGACATCAAGGGATTAGGTTAAATGATTTTCAATAGATTGCTAATAAATCAGAAACTGTTTTCTCTCTTACTTGCACCAGTGTTCAGGATTACCAACAGCAGAGATTGACTTGAGTGTTATTGGTTCGGCTATTAAAGCAGAGACGCCATTCTGTGTACATGTACCAAATGTCTGACAGGTACCTATGGCTGGGTAGGCACTCAAACCTGTGAAATTAAGTAGTAACTATTTAGCAAGGTTATAAATATATCTGAAATAAATTACGACTTATAGTTTCAACAGTCTGTTCCTTCTCACTTTTCCTTTTCATTTACAAAATACGACTCATAACTGTTCAATCATGCTTGTTTTTAACGTATCAAAAATATTACTTAAAGATGCTGATCATCACCTTAAGCTACAATATTGTGCGAGTTAATCCCAAAAAGGAATATCTGTTCATAATTGCTCAATTCCGTTCAGAAAAATGATGCATATAACCAGTTAACTCATAAGTAATATCTTATAATGGGCCTCTTTTGAATCCACGGGAGAGTGTCTATCGTCTATAATTTGTTTCTATATTGGTAATTGAATGTTAAATAATCAATTTTTGAGTAGATTTTAGCATGGATTAAACCACAGGCACTTGAAGGGATTAAAACAAGCCAACAGTGAGGCTGATGTCCCCCGCCGAAATAGGAAAATAATTAGAGAGTTATTGTGTTCCAAAGTCTCAGCAAATCAAATTGCTTATCGCTCTGCTTAATCTGAGCAGAAAATGCTCATTATCGATCTTAGTCAAGGTATTACTGTAATGAAACTATACACCAAGTTTCATCACTCTCACTTAATTAGAACTAAAGTTATAGTGTCCCAAAGCATCAACCAATCAAATTGTTTATCTCTGCTTACCCTAAGCGGAACGGACAGACAAACAGACAGACGGACGAACCCATTTTAATAGTTCCCTGCTTTCTTCGAAAGGCGGGGGACAATAAGCATGAACATTTACTCAATTCGAAGATCAACCAATCAAATTGTTTATCTCTGCTTACCATAAGCGGAACGGACAGACAGACAAACAGACAGACGGACGAACCCATTTTAATAGTTCCCTGCTTTCTTCGAAAGGCGGGGGACAATCAAAGTAGGAGAGTTATTGTTTTCCAAAGTCTCGACCAATCAAATTGCGTATCGCTCTGCTTACCCTGAGCAGAAAATGCTCATTATCAAACTTAGTCAAGGTATTACTGTAATGAAACTATACACCAAGTTTCATCAATCTCACTTAATTAGAACTAAAGTTATCGTGTCCCAAAGCATCAACCAATCAAATTGCTTATCTCTGCTTACCCTAAGCTGAAAATGCTCATCTTCGAACTCCATCAAGGCATTGACCTAATCAACACATACACCAAGTTTGAACATTCTAGCTCAATTAGGAAGAGAGTTATCGTGCCCCAAAGTATCAACCAATCAAATTGCTTATCTCTGCTTACCCTAAGCGGAAAATGCTCATCTTCGAACTCCATCAAGGCATTGACCTAATAAACACATACACCAAGTTTGAACATTCTAGCTCAATTAAAAGTTATCGTGTCCCAAAGCATCAACCAATCAAATTGCTTATCTCTGCTTACCCTAAGCGGAAAATGCTCATCTTCGAACTCCATCAAGGCATTGACCTAATCAACACATACACCAAGTTTGAACATTCTAGCCCAATTAGGAAGAGAGTTATCGTGTCCCAAAGCATCAACCAATCAAATTGCTTATCTCTGCTTACCCTAAGCGGAAAATGCTCATCTTCGAACTCCATCAAGGCACTGACCTAATAAACACATACACCAAGTTTGAACATTCTAGCTCAATTAGGAAGAGAGTTATTGTGTCCCAAAAAGTGTGACGGACAGACAGACGGACAGACAGAAGGACAGACAGACGGACAGACAGACAGACAGACAGACAGACGGACGAACCCATTTTAATAGTCCCCTGCTTTCTTCGAAAGGCGGGGGACAATAAAACTTCTTACTACTGCTTGACTATATATTATAGTATATAAAAGGTATTTCAGCCGCCATCTTTGTTTTCACGTCTTCAAGACATTTCGTTTGCTGTCATCTCACAATACTCACTATTTCTAACACTACCCGTCGTATTTATTGCCAACGAGACCTTATTTGATCATTATTCAGCTTCCGATGTAATTAAATTGGTCATTTAACAGCGTTATTAATTACAAATCAAACTTGAAGCGCTTTCACATGCCTAAAATCAACTTCAAGAGACCGGAAATAACATGAAATCAGGTCAAAGGAATTCCCTTTTGTTTTTATTAGTAAGTCTAGATCATCCAGTCACTTCCTTTATTAACATAATACGAGATTTGCTTAGGGACTGGGTGATCTAGACTGCATCGAAACAAACCCACCTGTGTTGGTTGATGCTATACCGCACCTAGCGAAATAACAAAAAGGGGAGGCGCTACCAATAGCTAGCTGAACAGAAATTATAACGTGTTTGTAGGCGGGAGACTGATTTTAAATGTTTTAAATTCATTAGTCAATTTTTAAAAAAAAGGTTTCTGAAAAATTGATGAAACAAATAATGACTGATGCTCAAAAATTGTATTATAGCAGAGACCTGAGACGTACGGTTTCTGGCATAGGCATAACAAAAGAATGGACTTGAAGTTTATACCAATTGTATGGTATCAGTAGGCTATTTAGAAATGAAAAGGGTGTTCTTCTTGTTTTAAGAAATAATATCATTTTGCAGACTAAAAGGCAAAATATTTTTTTTCTCCAAAATATATATTAATTTTTTTATCGCTTTATCTGCCCCACCACTGCTCATATGGCTTTGCAAGGATCAGAAATAACATTGATATCTCCTTATCTCCTTTATTAGGTATATATATATAAATATGTAAAAGTAGTTAGAAGATTCCATTTGAAGTAGTTAATATACGTAAAATAAATTATCCTAAGCATGTTACATACCAATGACAATATATTCAGCTGTCATTCTGACATTCATAATTCGCGGTCAGCTGTGACAGTCAATTTTATTTTTAGTAACACGCCTTGACCAATCAAAAATAAGAGCTTCCCCAACGCGACGTCATTGACCTGATTTCATGTTATTTCCGGTCTCTTGAAGTTGATCTTAGGCAAGTGACAGCGCTTCAAGTTTGATTTGTAATTAATAACGCTGTTAAATGACCAATTTATTTACATCGGAAGCTGAATAATGATCGAATAAGGTCTCGTTGGCAATATACACGACGGGTAGCGTGTTAGAACTAGTGAGTATTGTGAGATGATAGCAGACGAAATGTCTTGAAGACGTGAAAACAAAGATGGCGGCTGAAATACCTTTTATATACTATAATATATAGTCAAGCAGTAGTAAGAAGTTTTATTTTAATCCCTTCAAGTGCCTGTGGATTAAACATACAGGAGCTAAATATATTTAGAGGATTGGAATAATCGAGACTTTGTTTTGTTTCGTACCGACTTTAGTATAATGATCGAGGCTAGCCTAAAATTCAAAAGCTATTATCTCTGTTCAGAGTCGAGCAATTTGACTGATATTTTACGGCATATCTATTTACGTTATATATTTTTTAACTATTATAGTGAGAACTGTCAACTCTTTATCTAATCTCCCATAATGCCCCTTTAAGGAATGAAAAGTAATACTTTTGTCCGAAAATTGTAAATGGTGATTCACGACTTCATTAATTTCTTACCAGTGCATATTTGTTGATACAGAGGCATAATTTTCATAATTGTCAGGTCTCCTACTTTTGGTTTATCTTTGCAAGCTGTATTCACACACGTCATAAAACTGTTTATTCGTCTGTTGGAATAAAGAACAGTATTATCGCTCACATTTTTGTGCCAATGAAATAAAATAAATGTATGAAAATTACTAATAAAGAAAATAAAAGACAGGAATTTGTGACTAATGTTGGGCGAGGGTAGTACAGTTTACACCATGACAACACGCAAGTTTGCATGTACTGCAAAACTACCAACCAGAGTACAAACAGATTGTTTCCCTAAATCATATATTTCTACGACAGATATAAATCAGGCCGAATATAAGCCATGTTTTTCTTATGGAAACTGCCGCATAGGTCCAGTATTTTAATTTAGTTTTAGTATTTTAGATGGGAAGTATGGCGTTTGGTTCCCTATTATTATACATTTAGTTCGTGCAGATTACATTAGTAAACAATACATAAAGTAAATAACATGATAACAAACAAACATGAATGAATTGTTGGATGGAATTAATCGAAACTATAAAATATACATACGGGCAGACTGTGTATAAATCCAGGTTTGTACTGAAAGGGCTTAAACAAGCATTGAGACCAGGGCAATACTCTGAAATTAGAAATAAGTTGTAAAATGGTCTGTAAATGTGTCAATCCACTCCTTTATATTATTAAATAATATTTTAATTCATGATATTTGAGAGAGATTGGTGAATAGAATTATCCCAATTAAAACCAAAACCCACTCTATATTTGATACTGGATCAGTCTGTGAAACATTGAACTATTAAAGGTAAGGAGCCCGTGAGCATTTATTTCTTTTAAAACAATTAAACATATTTTGTTAAAAGTTAAACAGTTGGCAATTTTATTTCAATACCTTGGTATCCAGAACACTGTCGTTCTAAAGCTAATTGAAAGAGTTGAATATCCCCGAACATTGGCATCTGTGTGCATTGATTTCTTTTAAAACAATTAAGCATCTCATGGGAAACACTTGAAAGAAAGAAAACAATTATTATAAGCCCAGAGAACAATATAAACTGGAAAGAACAGATACAATGTAGAAATATAAATTTGATACGAGAATGTAATCGCTAAATACCACGAAAGACTTTTCGTACCCCAGTATTACAAAACGCTTTGAGAGCAGTTTCCACAACGTTTCATTTTTCACGTGGATTTTAGACAAGTCTCGTCTTAACACATTCAAAATTAAGAATGTTGATACCAGAGATAATCGTGTTTATCCTAAGGGAATTCGATTTTATCACATTAGCGATCAGTAAATACTCGATGACATCGGACCAATGTTAATCTATGCTTGACAATGATAGCCCCCCATCAACGGAGATGCCAATCGGAGTTAGTTAGCGATAGCCTGACAATGTATGTTCATATTGCCGGATGTGATAATCCATCTTTTCTAGCCAGAGATATTTTGTAACCAACTGATCATTACCAATGTCCCTTTGGTACTAAGGAGCGGCACTCACGATTTTGGGCCTTGTTTCACGCGATGGAGCTAAACTTTACTAAAACTATCAAATAATCTATCATCGAAAGAAAAACAATAAAAGACGCCATAAAAAATGTGATATTCCAGAACAGAAGGGATCAATTTTGTACATATTTTGAGTATGTAGGAACATCGCAGATTGGGCAAACAAAACACAAAATACATACGGTGTTGTGATTCTCCCAAAAGCGACAAGTGGCAAACGCCCAAAAAAATAGGAATAAGACGACTTGATGATCATGATTTCTTTATTTCCTGCGTAGAATTGTCGGAGAATTTACAACGAAACGAATAAATACGAGAAGGCGTCAAATTTAAATGCCATTTATTAAAGACGTGCCTTCTATTCACTTAATTCATTAAATATTCGCTTATCGGTGTTTATAAATCTACGCCAATGAAAGAATAATTATCATTTACGATTTTTCGACCAAAATTAGATTACAAGATAATTTAATTTCTGAGTTTTCTAGAAAAAAAAGCCACGCAGAAGAAAACAATGCGTTAATTTTGTTGTTTAGCTTTAAATTTCTGTCATTAACAAATACTATTTATAATAGGCCTAATAAAGAAATACGACAAACAACGAGTCTGGCCTATACGTCAGTGGCGGCAAAGGCCTATTTTTAAGGAGTGAGTAACTCTAAACCACAAGATTAGATTATCTAGATATTAAATTTTGATAGAAAGAATGTAAATCACAAATTAATAAATAAAATAAGGCACTTTTAAAGAAAAGGTATTTCTTTATTAGGCCTAATATAAATAGTATTTATTAGTGACAGAAATCTAAAACTTAACAAAATTAACGCATTGCGACGAGTTTGTTTTATTCTGCGTGTTTTGGGTTTTTGGGTTTTTTTTTTGTTTGTTTTGTTTTTGTTTGTTCTGCCCACATACATAAGTTGGGAGAAAACTCTGAAATTTTGGTCGCAAAAGTGTATATATAATAAATATTATTTCATCAGCGCAGGTTTATTAAAAGCGATAAGCAAAATGGCTTGGTTAATACGCGGGAAATAAAGTAATCTAGTCACGGGAACCATCACTTATGCTCAAACAACGACACTATCCCATACCCAACCCCACACACAAGCCAGCACTTGATCTAACCTCAAAGGTTAACCAAGTGAAATGTACCTAAACCGAGGTTATTACTTAAAATATGAGAAAGTAGCCAGATTATAAACATTACTGTATATCCTATAACACAGCCAGTTTTATATTATATTATATTATTTATATTAACAAAATAATATGTCATGGATAAGACTTACCCGCAACATCTATATGTACCCTCATAATCGTCCTGAGAGGTATTTTGGCAGCCAGAAGCCATAAACGGTGTGCCACACCCCAGACAGTTTCCTCCTATATGGAAAAGTTAATACAATTAAAGGAAACACATACCGGAGTAAAAGTAAGTCAATAACGTATCTAAACTATTTAAATGCCCAGGTCAACTTTTGTTAAAATCCAAATCCGGTACCAAATGTTAGTTTAATATCTGATCTTAGCATTCACATCAACTTGGGATTATTTTGAATATATAAGATGCCGATTGAACGGGATGCAAAATAGATTTCATTTCTTTGTGCTCCTTCTAGATAATGACTTCAAAATCTTCACAAATAGTATTTGTGTGTGTTTCCTGTATATTTTAATAAAAGTTTCTTGGACTTCTGTTAAAATCACATAATGTATTTGCAGGCAGTATACTGAAAACATTCAATTAATTTCGAAATTTGACATCGTTATGATGTACCCACTTTCCTTATACAATCAAATAATGGCTAGTAATGATCTGATATAATATATACGTTTGTATATTGTGTCCTGTCCGTAGGCTTGTCTTTATATGTGTGCGACCACTCCCCCCGCACTTGCAATTAAAAATGCATTATGTAAGGTTCAAATAAAGATCTGACCGTTCATGCTATAATAGTTTTAAAATAAAAAATGATAATCAATTGAAATATTCCCCCAAATTACTTTATTCTGAACGAGATGTGAATTTTGAACTGCGAGTAAGAAGTAGCTTAAATAGTTTCGATTGCCGAATACCATTGCTACGATAATAAACTTTGTCTCCGTGTTCCATTTTAATGAAGACATGTCAGACAAGTTCTAATCCTATTAATATGCCAGCCATCCGGTGATCTAGAGAGTTGGTTATGTTAATAAAATGTCAAAATGATAATTTATATTACATTTGATGACAAAAACAATACCCGTAGATTTATCTCTTAAATAATGCATCTTTAATGAAGATAATCTTTGCAAAATGAGCAAGTCAGAACTTTCCTTCCAGGGTCATATAGTTTACGTCCTTTTCATATTAGAAATAATTTTATACCTGCTCCACACATTTGGTCAAGCATTGGTTTCAGGGCATCTATGGGTGATGTAGCGTTCGCGGGCATTAAGTTTGGGCATTCTTGTTGTAACTGATTATAACATGTAGTCAAGTTCGTCATTGCACTGAAAAACATTATTAGTAATACTTTATGTTTGAAAGTCGCGATAAAGAAATGTTTAGGAAAACTTTTTAACCGTCAACAAATTCTAATGGAGATGGTGGTATGTATTAAACTTGTAAGGCGCATGGGTGATGCTTGTGCTAAGATAGCAATATGAGTAAATAATTAACTTAAGCAATCTTTTTACAGACAAATATGAGTTTAGATCATCGAACAGGTGACCAAATTATGCTCCATGGAACGTATCCTTAAAAAAAGGAGAGATGATGATCCCCGTATGCTGGGTAGACTAGCATCAACCGTTAAAGAAAAACAAGCAACACGGTTATTACCAAAAAATTATTTATACGCCGAGGTATTATCAAGTACATCTCAGTATTAACGAACTTCCTACTTTTGTTTATAAATTAAACAAATAATGAAATCACATCTATCAGCTCCCAAGCTCCACACCTCCCAAACAAAAACTAAACTTACGAGCAAATCATGGGCGTCAAGTTTTGTATTGCTGACATATCCGAAAAATCGATGGATAATATATTCCGTGAAACGCTACTACACTCAACAGATTTCTGCAGACAACCATTTTGCGTGCCTGAAACATTTAAATGGCAGTTAAGTTAAGATGTGAAGTAGCAATTATCTTTGTGTGCTTTATAACATCACAAGCTCCAGGCTTCTGAAATCTGTGTTTAAAGGAGCTAAGTCTCTAACTTAATATTTTTCATAATATTCGAAATTAAAAGCACAAGTAGAATTCAATATTGATCAATTTCAATCAATATTGGTGTTGTTATCTTGCTGTGAATTGTAGAATCCTAATATCCAATATTTAAGACACAATTAAAATTTTATATAAAAAATAAAACAAAACACAACACAATTTATATGGAAAACAATAACTGGTTTATACACATATAGCTTGACGTTTCGACAAGTGATTGTTTTCCATATAAATTGTGTTGTGTTTTTTTTTTTAATGTGCTCAATCGCTAAATGCCACTCAAGGATAAACATTTTATAATCAGTACGAGTCGTGTACCCTATGGTTTCGGGTGTCATTTTGTAATGAGCTAGAGAGAAATCGGGTTTAACGTCCAATCGAGACAAACTAGGTCATTTCTCGACTAACATTTTGTTCAATTTTATTTCAATAATTCGCTTGCGCATAGGAGTCTTTAGCAGTGTGAGGAAACCGGAGAACCCGAAGAAAACCCACGAGGTTGGAAAGGCTACCCTACTCCTTGTCACTCACAACCGGGGAATCGAAACCACCATTTTGTAATGAACAAATAAAAACATACCCTACAACACAATATGGAAGTAATTAGTAAAGTCTGCTTCACAAACGACAAAAAAATAATTTAAAAAACGTGTAGAACGTACCAAGCACACGTAAACGACTGCCGTTAAATTGGAAGTGTTCAAGTATTTCACCGAACACAATTGATTAGAATTACAATACTTCTTTCAAAAATTAATGAATACTAGTATCACGTTACATATGTTCATATTACATTACTAATGTTTGCTTTTTGAACCATTTTTGTCTATTTCAAGGTTCCAAAAAATAGAGTCATACGCCCTTTAATACAGAGCGCAACATTCTTTTTGACTGAGTTTGGATTGTATATCCACAACTATCATCCCGAGAACTTTTATATATGATTATTAATTACCTGACTCAGAATAGAAAACTTTATTGATATTGTGTTTACAGTAACGGTAAGTTGCAGTCATAGTAGGGAGGTTTGGACCAAATTCTCAAACGATCTAACTGGACTTACACATTTGAAAGTGGTACCTATTACGAAAACTACACACTCGGGTCTTTCCTTTGTCCGACTTTAATCTTACGGAAATGAAATAGGGTTTAACGCCCTGCTATTTTTCAACGATTGGGATAATGACGGTGGATACAGAGCACATAGTGGGTTATTAGGGAAATTCGGCCCAGAATTTGTAACCTCGGGGTTTCGTCCTATCCGAACGTCAAAACACTATGCCTTGCCAGGCCATCCATCCTTCATCACTATTTAATCTTACTACTGTGTATTTGCCATAAAAAAATCCCTTGCGCTCATATTGCTTAAATCATATTCATACCTGTATCGTTTCCACAAACTTGTTCAATCGTTGGTTTAACAGCATCTAAGCTAGACGTGACATTCGCGAAAGCTGGGTCGGGACACATAAGTGTCAGTTCACTGTAACACCTAGTGATCTTACTAAATGTACTGAAAGACATAATATAGTAATCATTGATATTCCAACTTGATTATCTGAGTTTTATTTAAACTGTCGTTAAAATCTCTATATATGCAGCTATTGATATACATTAATCCAAATCGTTTCGGATTAGCTCGAAATAAACATGCCGGCTGTAAAGATCGATTTCCATTAAATTGCCTATTGCAGGTCTTTCTTTAGGCCTGAAATGTTTTCTAAATTATTAATTGAATTAGACATTAATTAACTTATCCAGGCCATAATCAACTCTCGATGGCATCGGATTTCTGCGATATTATACTATTCAAAAAAAGTAGGGGATATTTGATTTTGGGGGCATAATACTAAAATATGCAAATGACTACGAAAAAAGTCACTATAGAACCTAACAGAAGAAACATTTCCAGTTACATGTGACGCCCAAACGCACCAATAGCTACCGCATGGAATGCAGGTGATGCTTGGGATCATCATGGGGGTCCAACCCAAGATTTGCACGACTCTGACTTTGAATGTTACAGTCATTGTGGCATTGAATTCCAGGGTGGAAACATCAGTTTAATTGTTTTAGTGACCAGAAAACAAATTTTGATATGCGTCGGCTTACCCAAAATGAAAGGTTACGTGCCCTTGGCATGCTACAGATCGGCACAACACGGGCGGTTGTGGCGCGGACGATGAATGTTTCTCAGTCTGTCATAAGCAGGCTATGGTCCAGATACCGTGATACACAATCTGTACAGGACAGACCACGCTCAGGTCGACCAAGGGCGACAACTCAAGCCCAGGATCGATTTATCTGTACCTTGGCCTTGAGAAATCGTGTCATCACAGCAAATCAGATCAGCGCTCGTCTTCAAACAGACACTGGTGTGAGAGTGAGTGGCCAGACGATTCGGAATCGACTGCATAGGGGTCACCTTCGCGCCCGACGTCCTCGCGTGATCCCTTGTTTGAGAGATCATCACATTCAGGCAAGACGTCGTTGGTGTAGGGATCGTCAACACTGGGATAATCGACGCTGGAGCAATGTGATGTTTTCAGATGAGTCAAGGTTCACTGTTGATTTTTTGGACAGACGTAGGAGGGTGTGGCGTCGTCGAAACGAGCGCTTCCAAGACGTTAACGTCATCAGACATGATCGATTTGGGGGTGGTTCTGTTATGGTGTGGGGAGGCATCACTGTTGCTGGAAGAACGGCTTTACATGTTGTTGCAGGGCGTGTTACAGGCCAGTACTACCGGGACAACATCTTGGCAGTCCATGTTGTGCCGTTCGCACGACGTCATGGCCGCCGTTTCATCTTCCAGGATGACAACGCAAGATGTCACAGGGCCAGGATCGTTACAGGTTACCTCCAACAACAGAACATCACCATATTACCTTGGCCAGCACTGAGTCCCGACCTCTCCCCCATCGAGCATGTCTGGGACATGCTTGGACAGAGGTTACGTCAACGTCAACAACGTCCTGCCAATGTCCAAGAACTTGCTGTTGCGTTACGGTGGTTGAAATTATTGCACACGTCTTGTCAAACCTTCCAAGGCTAATATCTTTGCTCGCAATAGAGTAATTTGAATGAAATTTTTAAATTATTCATTTTACATTATCCATTTTCGAACTATTATTGCAAGAATGGCTAGCTCTTTATCTAAATCTTACATAATGTATCTTTAATTTTGTATGACAATTATTCTGAAATTTTAAAGCCAAAGATAATCATGTTGATATTATTCCTATGTTGATAAATATCAAGGTGTTAACATAATGGTGACGGTTGATAGGTGTCAATCTGTTCACATTGCCATCTGTTCTATGTTATGAACCCATTTTTCTTTTAGTATCAAGCTGTGTTGAAACAAATCATACACCTATACAATTCTAGTATCAAACCGCGTTGAAACAGATCATACACCAATACAATTTGTAAAGAAGAATAATATTAACAATATGAAATCCCTTTAAAGAGTAATTCACTTGCGAAGGGGTCTTTAGCAGTGGGAGGAAACCAGAGGACCCGAAAAAATTCACGAAGTTGGACAGGTGACCCTACTCCTTGTTACGTACAAGAGAGGAGTCGCAACCACGTCACTTGAATCAATGACATACCTTATGAAGCATGTTCCAGTATTGGTTCTTTATGATGACATCACTGGTTTAACTTCATATGATACTTTTATTGTTCTTCAAATATACTAATGTCCAAAAGAAAGTATACACTGTGCATTTTTTCCTGCTTCAAACAAAGTCATTTTTCCATTGTATGCGGTATTTAGGTACAATGTCCATTTGTTTTGCCATTTATTTGCTTAGAAATATTGAGTTTGGACGCACGAGACATGTTCAGTGTAGTTTCATCACATTTTGTTGATTTAAACAAAACTTAGTCATATTGTTAGTGTGTATACTTTCTTTTGGACATTAGTATATATAAAGTACAAACTTCTTATAGTTAAAGACTCCGCAATTAGCTTGTGTTGAGGTAGCCATGGTCCTAACTTGGTTTTACACCCTTGGGTGCCAACACCCAGCAAACTTAAATGGCCACTCTTCGGTTTTAACTTGAGACCTGCCTGTTACCAAGTTAACGAAAAGACGCCCGCCCCCGCCCTCGCCTTCACTGAATAATCTATTTTGGATTCCTGCTTATAATCCCCCTTCTATAAAAAGGATGATCGAAGAGATTATGCAGCTGGCTATGTTGTATCATAATTCAGGTAGTAACTAATGACTTCCACATAGCCGTTCCAGGCCAGTGCCAATGTCGCCCATCTGTGGGTCATAATGATAAGAATGTTTTAATCAATTTCATGTATGGAAGGTGTTAATTGACATTTTTCTAAATAATCTCCAATTATGTAATACACAACGAGCACGCGTTCACTCCCACCCCCGTTCATATTGTAATCCCCTGTTGATATGCTAAGATTATGTCGAACAAGAAGAAACTTACGGGCACATCGTTGTAGATAGACTTTGTACAGCCGATTCATCTGTGAAATCTATGGAAAGTACAGCATCTGCAATCTCGGTTGAATAGTTTGAACACTCGAAAACTTTCTGAAAACAGCCATTTGCTGAAAGTTGATACAAAAATAATTATAAAATAACGGATCACCAATAAAGTTATTTTGTATAAAAAAAAGATGGAAAGATTTATATCTGCTTTAAGGATATAGCATATGCATGAAAGCAACTGGAGTGTGTGTATCCCTTTAACTTCTACAGAACACTCTATTTAGGTCAAGTTACATCATCCTGTCACAGTTGTCTAGTCTCATAATATCCTATGCTTACAAATAAATTCCGATGCAATAACTGTACTGGTTAATATAGACTAATAAAAAATGGCCTGACAAAGTTAGGTAGTGCTTTGTAAATCAAAAAGTAATTCTTATTAAAATACGAACAAATCATCTACAAAGCGCATATAATCCAACACGTAAGCCTGTTCCCAAATGCCATTCAGATATCCTGAATAAAATATTATTTTAAACCAAATTCAAAAAGGGCATACAAGAATTCATTTTCATCTGTTTATATGGACTAAGAGTGGTAATAATTTCCCCTCTTGTAACGACAAATTTTAGTCCCGAAACGAAAGAGAGCTTTAAAATTCTGAAGGGTAGGATCTGGAGGTAATGCGGAAATCGCCAACGAAAGATGTCAGAACCGTTGCCAGGCGTAGAAAAAAAAAGAAATGGTCAACCCAAATGACAGATTGCATTTTTAAATTAGAGTAGAAGTTTCATATGCGTGAAGCGACATACCCACCGCCCCTTAAAGATAACTACTCTTAGGTATTAAATATACAAAAATATAAAAGTTTTTGAAAAAAGAACTACATTATTTGTCGATTACTAGCACTTTCGCTTATTTTATTAAGCTCTTCAGATAATCAACATTTTGGTAATACAACAATGACTATGACGTTATAGAATCATAGGAACACAGTAGTACAAAGAGGGAACATAACGTAAAATCAAATCAGACAACAATAATTAGGGCTATGTGCAATGAAATTACTAGAATTTTGCATTTAAAGCTGGCCGATATTTGTCAATAAAAGATACCTCTTGGCTTCTAATAAATCATTATTATTGTTATTAAGCTTGTACATCGGAAAAACACTAAATTTGCAACCACCACAAACATCTATATGTCCACTAAGAGTGTTCATCCTATAATGTGGATTGAGTATATGATGTCGATGGAAATGAAATGAAATGAAATGGAGTTTAACGTCCTACTTTTCTGCTCCTAACCTGGGCTAATGAAGACGGGCATACGCCATACAGTGTGCTATGAGGGAAATTTTGCCCGGACAGCGGCACTACGGCCTACTCTTATATCGAATTCCAACTGCCAAGGGATCTTTTACGTGCACGCCAATGTGTACACGGGACCTCGGTTTTTCGTCCCATCCGAACGACTAGACAGCTTTCCTTGTCAGCCCCTCCGCCCTGCATCACTGACAAGGGAGAACCACGCCGGAAAATCTGGATGAACTTTCTCGGCCAATGCAGGGATCGAACATCCGACCTCCAGGCTAGCGAGCTAGCGACTTAGCCACGTGATGTCGATGGAGGTTCATCCTTGTCTTTAGCATACTTATAGTTTTTCCAATGTACCGTCTATTACAGCCTGAACAAACAATCACATACATGACATAACTGGTTTTACAGTTCATGGGTTGTTTAATATGAAAGAGTTTGTTATCGGTGATTTGGATTGAGGAGCCCTTAATTATTGTTTTACAGGTCTTGCAATTTATTTCTCCACATTCACTTACCACCGGTGTATCTGGACTACTATCAAATTTTGAAGATGTTAATAATTTAGCTAGAATTCGTGGCTGTTTAAGACTGTTAATAATCTTAGTTTTCACTTACCACCGGTGTATCTGGACTACTATCAAATTTTGAAGATGTTAATAATTTAGCTAGAATTCGTGGCTGTTTAAGACTGTTAATAATCTTAGTTTTAGACAAAATGTTTAACATAACCTCACTATTCTTAAGGATGTGTAAATTATTATTTATCAAAGACTTCCCATCTTCTTGTGAAGGGTTAAAAGTTGTGACTAAAGCAACATTTAGATTTTTGCATGCTTTCTACTTACAATTTCCACCTCCTCCACCACCGCATGTTTGAACCACTAGCGAAGAATACATTTCAATTGTACTGTTCAAGTCAATAACTGGACATTCCATCTGAACCTTTCTGTAACAATCTACTGCAATCGGCATTTCACTGAAACCGATTTATTTTACGACAGTTACAAACAAATCGTTGGATGGCCTTAATCACCATGACAATTTCGAACAATATATACACAACCAGAAAAGTTAAGAACCCCCCCCCCCCCTGATTTTTCACAGAGGGGTGAACTTCATGGAAGTATGGTATGAAACTGAGAAAAAGAAGATAGGCAAAAGAAATTTTAATTAAAAGAAGGGTCGTTTGTTCATTTGGAAGACAAGTTTTGTAACGGTATGAGCACTAAAAGTGCATGAAAACACAAGAGTGAAATTAAATTGAAATAGAATTTCATCCAAATAACATGGGTGTTTAATTAAGTATCGCCAGTTCAAGGTCTTGATGTGTGCCACCCGGTAAAAACAGCTTTAATAAAGTCGATCAATGTCCCAGGAATCACAAAACATCAGTAACGTGTGCTGCCACCAGGTGACTGAATAACTGCAGCCACTCTTCTTGACATACTCCTAACCAGGTTCCTTAATTGTTCCACCGGTATCCGCTGCCACTCCTCGTGAAGAGCTGCATCCAGTTCCCTCAGGATTTATGGAGGAGGATTTCTTCTTTGTACCCGACGGCCCATGATGTCCCAAACATGTTCGATTGGGTTCGAATCAGAAGACATTGCTGGCCATGGAATTCGTGTCACAGCATTATTTGTTAGATGTTGGTTTACAGCACGTGAAAGATTAGATCGTGCATTGTCGTCCATGAAGAAGGGTCTTGTGGCAAGTCTGTGGTCATCGAAATGATCAATAATTACAGGATCCAGAACCTCCTGAATGTAGCGAGCTCCTGTGAGTGAACCTTGTATAGTCACCAAATCAATTCTACAGTCGTAGGAGAAGCCTCCCCAAACCATTATGGATTCCCCGCCAAATGGTATTCTTTTCAAAATGTTCCTGGGGGCAAGACGTGTATTCTTAGTTCTCCATACGCGGGCTCTCCCATCAACAGCATGCAGGAGGAAACGACTTTCGTCGCTCCAGTGTATTCTCCTCCATGATCTTAGGTTCCAGCTCTGCCTGTGCTCACGCCATAAGCTATGCTGACGCTTGTGGTGATTTATGAGCTGTGGACGCCTGATGGCCCTTCTGGCTCTTAAACCAGCAGCTTTGCAGCGGTTTCTCAGTCTGGTTGCTCAAGCGGCGATGAGGTAACCAGACTTGTTTCAGAAGGGTGCTTGAACCAATAGGCTGCCATCTAACATGCCGTAACAGAGCGTGGTAGCTTTTGGTCTTCCAGAACGGGGAAGGTCATTTACATCATTTGTTTGCGCATACTTCCTTAACAGACAGCTTATTACGCTGTAAGAATGTCCTGCCCGATGAATGTATCGGAAATTCTTCTTCGTGCCATTGTCAATCAGAAGTGCAAAAAAGTGAGAATGAAGTCGATACCGATCCTTAAATACCCAATGCTTGTGGTTGCTTGAAACTTTGGTGTGTGCAAGACATAGGTGGCGGGATTCGCGTTCGTGAGAGACATTTTCCAATAAGTAAAACCTTATTTTATGACCAATATACCACTCTTTGATTTGCCATCACGAGGATTGAAATTTGGTTTCAACATATACCGATAATTCAGCTTTTATTTGGTGGCGATGGTGGGGTGGGGGGCTTAACTTTTTTTGTTGTGTATATATTGGTGATTGACGTCATGATTACTATTGGTAATATTTATTTGCAGCTCTGGCTGGAGAATTCTGGTCAGTCAGATATTTGTAAATCGAGTACAACAAAAGAAAATTGAGAGGGTTTATCAGTCAACAATACAAATAAAATTGACAAAAAACACCCAATCACTTGCCTTAGATACGTTTTATCAGATTAAAATAAATTTGAAATCCTGAAATTTATTTTACTGAAATTGTTTTTACCAAATAAATTCTATGGAGATTTGTATTATACAAACCTTGATTATTGTTGCTGTGACTAATGAGACTAAACTAGAAAACTTACGCGCAAAATGCTGCTTGGTTTGATGTTTGCAATTTGTTGTAAGCTTCAAGAGTCTGATTGCTGCAAATCTGCTGTTTAGGTGCACAGGCAGCTGAAACGATATCACAAAAAAAAACATTTCCAAAAAGTTTTCTAGTTAAAAATTTGATCTGCATTTGTTTCCGTTTTCAATTCACGTTGTCCTGTACTACACAGACAGCTAACCAGGACTTGATAAATTCTATATTCTCTCTATAGACACTCTGATTGATACAATAAATGATGCCCATGTGACAGAGTCACCTTACAAAAGATATTAATAAGGTAATTATAGAACGTTCCTAGTAATAAAAGGAGCCACGGTGGCCCAGTGATTAAGGCTTTGGCTCACTAACCTCTAGATGCGATGTTCGATCCCAGTGTTGAGCTAGAAAGAGTTCATTGGGATTTTTGGGCCTGGTCCCATTTTGTAAGTGATTCAGGACGGATGAGATGTCAATGAAAGAAGAGCCTAGTCGTTAAGGTGGGGCGAAAAACCGAGGTCCCGTATACACGTTGGTATACAATCCCTGGCACTTAGTTTCCAGAAATGATTCACATTAGGAATACCTTCTTGTGGTGGGCTCCAAGAGACTACAGAGTGAGAAACATACACTCGGTCAGTTTTGCAGCCACCGAAAATAATTTTATCAAACAATAAATAGTTAAGGAGACTGGCAATAATATGAGTCGTATGTTGTCCGTATGAAAACAATTACTTACACATTTCACAACTAATAACTGTGTTGTTTATTGTCGTTTTAATCTGGGTAAATCCTGTGGGTTCAACAGTTCCTGGAGGACAGTTAGCTGCGTCATTATCTAAACAGGTCTTGGCCGTTGTCGCTGCTCTGTAAAAAGGATTAATATCTGAACATTACATTATCGGAAATAAAGGTAAAACAAATTACCAATGCCTTTCCTTAAATGTCGGAAAAGCCCCTTTAGGACTAAAGCAGGAAGCGTGAATAGAATGGGGTTAAACCACAGGCGCTTGTAACGTGGAAAATATTTCAAAAATAACATTAAAACTGAACTTCGATTACAAAACTACAGAAATAATTAAATAAAAAAAAGGTAACGCCCAAAACAACCGCCATACTTGTTTTCAAGTTCTAGAACTAACATGACGATCGCTTTAGGCGGACAAACACACATGTAGGCCACGCCCACTTCCAGTATATACCGTGTCAAGCAAAGTGTCCACATCCGGTTTGCTAGTCAACTACCAATTACCTCCTGACTGATTGAATTTTTTTCACTATCAGCTCACAGAAAATATTATTGCTTCACAATTATTATGTCTGATCTGGTACATATTATTTTACTAATTAGACGAAAGAAGTCAACCACGATTTACTTTTGCTCTAAAAATAACAGAAAAACTACCTTACCCCAAACAATAACAAATCTAGCAGCTCCAGCCATTTTTTTCTTATTTCGTGATATGTTTTTCTCAACAGAGTAGAAACACCAAATACTTTTCATAAAGTCTAGTAGTATCGTTCCAAAATATACTCTTCAAAAAAAGTAGACATAAACAGTTCATATGTGCGGCTTATCTGACGGCCCCATTTCACTCGCAAAGAGATACACCGTCAAAAGTGAAAATGGACGTTTTTGATTTTTGTCTTAATAATGAGTAATTGCTCCACCAATCCTCAGACATTCAGCAATTCGTCGTGACATGCTCCTAATCAATCGTCCAATCACGATTTGGAGTAAAATGGACGTTTTTGATTTTTATCTTAATAATGAGTAATTGCTCCACCAACCCTCAGACATTCGTGGCATGCTCCTAATCAATCGTCCAATCTCGATTTGGGACAATTTGACCCACTCCTCTTGACGTTGACGTCGACGACCACGTCTCCCGATCAAATTAAACGTAACACACTAAAGCAAAGATAGGCTAAACAGTAAATCTTATGCAAAAACCGATAGGAAAGCAAACATGGATAGATAAACCAGCACACGGCAGTTTTCATCAACCCTTCCTTGAAGTGTCAAATTTGACAATGAACCCCTCCCACGTGTATGACGCTATTGTGTGTCGCCCGTGCAGCTCAGTGGTTCTGTTGGGGCGACAAGTTCTTCATCTGTGAACATACGCTCGAAGCATGTCAGGTGTCCATGACTATTTATCATATCACAACCTGCATAGGTATTTGCATTTCAATATAACCTACTTTTTTGAAGAGTATATACCCAAAGCCGCAATAAAACTGTAGTCCTCTCCATCAAAAAAGCATGTTTTCACTTTCAATTGTTGTTATAATGGCGATCAAAGGACATAACTTACATATTTCTGGGCAAAATGAAAACATATCCTTATTTCATGGAAGTGGGCTTGGCCTGCCCAACAAGTATGGCGGTTGTTTTTTTTTATTTAATTATTTCTGTAGTTTTGTAATTGGAGTTCAGCTTTAAGCTAAGACTAAGTATTTTAAAATTATCCAGGGGATAATTAAGTATAATTAAGTCACGTGAACAATTTTTAAACGTCATCGTAGACTCGATTGTCTACCAGCGAAAAGTAGTGAGTATTGCCACAGGTTGACGGGATCTCGAGAAGTGAACTTTGATCCCAATTATTTAATTCCAACCAGTTTCTCACCTTGGTATTATTTTATATCTTCTGAAAATAAATCGGTTTCAGACGAAGTATTCGCCCCCGCGTTAGAAATTGGAATCAGATCAGTTATTTGATAATCTCGCTTACAAACATGAACGTAACAGACTTAAGACACATACTTAGTCATGGTTTGATCTCATATTTGAAATATTTTCCACGTTACAGGCGCCTGTGGTTAAACGTCCTACTTTTCTGTACCGAAATGGCCAATAAAGTCGGGCATAAGCCATACATCTGCTATACTGCTATACGGAAACAATTCAAATGGAATAGAGCGGTAGTGGTTTCTAGTGGGGTGACAATTGGTGGATGAACTAGAACGACTGAGAACAGTAGAATCGAATATACATGTATGCACATTTAAATACACATTGAAAGAGAAAAGAATGTAAAAAGCAAATTAAATGCGTACGTTTGCAAACAAATACAAGCATGCATCTAAAATAAAAGGGGTGAATATGAATTGAAATGAAGCGCCACACTGTAAATATTGTAAATCTATAATCAGTGGGGTGGTAAAACGCACCCACAGAGCTGCTGTTGCGCCAATGTTGGATCACTGCTACTTGCTGCGCCAGCAGCAGTAAAATATTGTTGTTGGCAATTGTTGTAATTAGTATAACATCCATCACATGACAAAACCAGTAGTATTACTGAAAAAAAGTACATACAATGGATAATAAAACAGTGTTGTTGATAATTGTTGTACAGGGTGACCCAAAAAATGACACTCATGAAAACGTCAATTACATGCAAAGTCCTTTTTGCATTTTATTCATATTTGGTACAAATAAACTTTAGTCTATGCCTGACATTTCTACCCAGTTTCAAAGATTTTGGCAGTGATGGCTGTCATTCCAGCAGGATGGGGCAACGCCCCACACTTCAAATGAATCACTGGAATGGCTTCGGGAGCTCTTTGCTGACCATCTCATCAGTAGAAGGTGTGATCCTGAATTGGCCTCACACTCGCCTGGCCTTAACCCCCTAGATTTTTATCTGTGGGGCTATCTCAAAGATAATGTGTACCAGGACAATCCCCAGACTATCCCTGAACTGAAGACAGCCATCACTGCCAAAATCAGGAGAATCCCTAGGGAGGAGTGTGTGAGAGTAATTGACAATTTTGCAGATTCGGGTCTGCTTGGGGCGCAGAGGTGGACATTTAGAGCATATCTTGGAAACTGGGTAGAAATGTCAGGCATAGACTAAAGTTTATTTGTACCAAATATGAATAAAATGCAAAAAGGACTTTGCATGTAACTGACGTTTTCATGAGTGGCATTTTTTGGGGGGTCATCCTGTAATTAGTATAACATCAATTATATAAAAAACACAGTAGTATCACCGATATTGAAATAGTGTTGTTGATAGTTGTTGATTGTTCCACACCCATCACATGACAAAACAGGTAGTGTTACTGAAATAAATGCATTTACAACGGATAGAGGGTTTAACGTCCACTCATCTAGGTCATTTCGGGACTTTAACAGTCTTTAACAGTAGGCGGAACTGGATGACCTGGAGGAAACCCACGAGGTTCGACAAGAGGGTGGGGTGATAGTGCAGGGGGTGTATGCCTTCGCTACATTAGAAACGCATTTCTGATTTTTTTTAAGGGGAAACGGAAATAAGGACGTCACAAACTGTTTAAATGCACTTTTTAGTCCTCTTTACTTCTCGCAAAAGTTGTAAGTTTTGCACCGTTCCCTTTCCGGTTTCTAAGATCCTGTATCCGCGCCTGCAAATCATTTATTCGGACTATTTATTTTACAACATGGACTGGCATAGTGCCATGTTTATACTAATTGATTCTTTTGCTGAAAATATGGGAAAACAGTGACTGTATAGAGTGGTCCCAATAACACAATATATCAAGGTCATATAATGTCGCAATTTTATTTGAATTAAAAGTAGTATTCAATTCAATTTACCTACCAAATGTGTAGTGAGTATATAGTTTATTGCAAACAAAAATAGGGTATGTAAGCTATAAAGGTAACAGTGAATGAATCCTTAGAGAAATGTAGTAATATGGGGGGCAAGAATTTGTGCTAAAGAACACATATGTAAAATAATATTATGGTCTTGATTAATTATTCTCCATTGCCAAAATATTAGCTATGGTGTAAGTTTATTCTGAAACGCAATTAAAAATTGTTTACGAAATATTGTGACAATAACAGGACATGAGGTCTTAAGGCAAGGGATGGTGAAATATGATGGCTAAGAACAATAGCGTTATCTTTTATATTATTGATTCTAACTTCATAACCACAAATATAGAAAGTATATGCTAGTTATTTTGATACGTTAACTAAGCTATAGATTAATGAACATGTTGGTCGTTTACATTTTTCTTTGTTATAAAACATTATATCATATTTGTTGACTAAATTAGGTAACAATCCCTGTCGATATACAGGTTTGGGGTGAATGTCCATTCCATATTTGGAATTTAGCTGTTATCAGTTGTTTACGTAAATAACAGAGACAAAAGAATATGCACCTATATAAGGGAGCGGGGCTAGAATAATTGGGAGAGATCATGTGGATTCTTTAGACGACTCTTTCATGCGGTAGCGTTTTCCTTGGTCTAGCCATGCTGGCTAGATTTTTACAGGACTGGGGTTGGAGAGAAAGAGATGTTAATTTTAAATATTGCAATGTAGACTACTGTGTAACTGTTGTGACATAAAATGTTTAGCAAAAACACTATCGTTGTTCCAGTTACTTATTTGAGTCAGTATCGTGAGAAAACACAATGGTGAAGTCCTTAAGAAGAAAGATACAACAGTAGCAGTCCAGAGCCAGCCAACCCCCCATTAGACGATCAGGCCAAAACCTAAGATGTGTAGTTGGATAGTACTACAGAAACTGTACATGAATTCTTATACATACATTATGCAAGAACTAAATGTGTATATTGCAGCTATTTCTTTAGTTCTGAAATGTTATATAAACTAATACTTAAACATTTATTTTATGAAAAGAACTTAATCAACTCTCGGTGCCATCTTGTGTGTCGGATTTTCACTGGATTGAATCCGATTTGCTGTTTGTTGATTAACTCTAAAATGGATAATCGAGACTGTTTTTTTTATCGTACCAACTTTAGTAATGATGGGGGGCTAGGCCAAAAATTCAATCGCTAATATCTCAGTTCAGAGTGCAGCAATTGGACTGAAGTTTTCAGCATATTTCCTTAAAATTATCTAGTTTTTATCTATTATAGTGAGAACTGCCAGCCATTTATCTAATGCCCCTTTAAAGTCACAATGCGCGAACCCTTAAAGTAACTGTGCGTGATTCGTTTTTGTTTTCGTTTTTTGGAAAATACTAAATATCTCATCTCTTAATCCACGCTTATGTGTTCTCAGATTGATTATTTAACATGTAATTAAGAAAACAAAACAAACACATAAACGGTATTGAACACATATGATCGTCTTCAATGTGCGAACCTTGTGGCTTATTTCCGAGTCATGCTATTGTGGACTGTGTGGTATTTAAGCAAAAACGACTGGATGTATTGAATTCGCTTGATGATGTAAGTGACAATAAATTCATTGTGAAAATTCTCTCTTTTAAACTTAACTGCCCCCCCCCCTCTTTTTTGTTATATTATATTAATTATGTGTTTACTATTATTATTATATTTACTGTACTGTAATACTTTTCGTATTTGGATGATCAATATAATATATATTTCAAATCACGTCCATGGACTTTAAATGTTCAAATGAACTCGGTATATCATAAGTTTTTCAAAAGAGTTTAAACATCAGGTGCTACTGGATTTTTTATATGTCGAGAAAATTGTCGAATGTTGGCAAATTCTTTTCAGAAATTCAGCTTTATCAATGATGTAATTTGCAATGGATTGAACATCCATCAAATTGCGATCTTTTAATGTGCATTTAGGTTAATGAGATGGGTTTGTAGCGAAACAGGTTGATAAGAAGGAAAAAACAAAAACAAAGCTGCGTACTATCACGCATGGCTGGTTACATACAATGCGAAAGCACAACAATAAATGCCTGCTATGTCACATAAAGCTATTTAATTTCGTTATTCGGACACATACCAAATATTAAGGTCAACTCCTTGCTTTCATAACAGTAAATCGCGTGTTTGAAAGACAGGATCGCAATTTCGCAATGTTCACAAGTTACATTTAGATTAATCAAGTCGCCATAAATCAAACCCATAGTATTAACCCATTTATATTTCTTTATTTAACATTCTGTGGTCTTTTATACACCTTTACACTTTTTAAGCGAGAAACTGACATGCTTTGGCTCTTGGCTTGGGTCAAGGGCAACGATTTATTTTTCAATCTTTGAATGTATAACGCTTGACCACTTTGTGCGCAATGCATTTGTGTAAACCCATTTAATAGTGGATTTCACAATACGATGAATAAACCATATATGAACAAATATACATAATACACGGACAGCTTGGTTACAAACCACGATTAATATTTAATAAAGTAAAATGTCAGGGACATACAACCAATAATAACAAACGGCCTACTTAATATCATTTGCAGATAATGGGAGGTCTCCGAGGAACAACCAAAAATAAATTTGAAGGGCATTTATATCTGTCATATTGGTTTATCCACGTCTAATATTATCATCAATGTCATCAAGATACTTCATCTATTGGATTCATAATATAATATGTTCAGTATTACGTAGATTGACCATTGAGTCATTTGGAAACCCGAATATTTGGTTTTAAAATTGTGTAGTTGTACTAGTGTTACAAGGGTGTTTAGTCTGCTTCTGTTCTGCACCAAAAGGCCTATCAACAACGGGAATACGCCATGCAGTGTGTGCCAAAATTGAAATTTTACCGAGAGAGAGAGAGAGGCGTTTCCGTTTACTCACCTTAAAGCTCAAGCTGTCGATGGTTCTTTTACCTGCACTACCTGCACACTTACATTTAACGGAACTTTTGTTTTACTTTCATCCGAACCACTAAACGGTTTTAATGGCTATCCCCCCACCCCCGCCATTTCTATCACTCACAAGGCGCTATCCCACTAAAAGAATCTCAAAGAACCATCTCCTCCAATGCCGGGATCTCATAATGAGCCGACGCCTTACTTACTGAGCTACAGCACGTGGAAACACAGTATCGTTTGTGTGTGCGTGTGTGTACTTTTACGGTACTTAAATTGCATATAATTGTTTTGATTGATGTACTCAAAACAACATTCTTGGATGTGTCTAGAAGGATTAGAAATTCCCGTAGTAGCATGGACTCCATTTCCTCGTCCCTTCGACATCTTGTTATATCAATCATAGACATAAATAATACGACGACAATTTATAAAAATAAACAAGAAAATGCAAAAGCGTATATATATATCCCAAATCCTTATTATGTATATCTTAAAGATAAACAATATGAGAATAAGAGTACAAATCTTACCTGAGGAGGCATAATACGCCGCTGATTTGGTTATATACATCATGTTGTATAATTTCTAGTTAACCTGTCGATATATATTGCTTAGTGGTATTAATGAAGTTAAATTCCGCTTAGAGCTTTTGAAGTGATCACGGCGTGGTCAATGTAGTCACTGTGTAGACTTGAAGCTGATCACAACTAATTTATACATCTACGTCATTGTCGCACGCTTGAATGAATATACTGTCAACCAGAATATGGCTTTCATAGGATAAAGGGTCAGCAATGGACCTGTTGTCCGTATCAAGCCCTATCTATTATTAGACTCGTTTCTCCACAAGCACAGTATAATATCTACTTACAACCCCCACACACACTCAGTTGGAGGTGTGGTGATGGGAGGGTAAAAGTACATTTTAAATAGTTTAGACAAACATTATTGTGGCTTAGCTCATCTCACCGCAGTCAGTGTCTCGGGCCTATCTCTCCGCACACCATTATAACGCTGACATGTAAATACGTTACAAAATGAAAAACTGTCCACAAATGTAAAACAATTGACACATATTGTAAAACGCCTTATTTATTAAAACGACAAATACAAAACAAAACATTAAAAAACAATGTCCTTGTCTGCTTCTATAGACACGAAGGATGTCTGTTTTTTGATACAGTAATATTACGAGAAATAATGTTAGTCTGGTTACCATTTGTTAGGAGACTCCTCTGGTCTGAAATCTGCAAGCCTTTACTTCGTCTACGTGCAATATAATATTGTAATTGAATGCGCTACACGGTCAAGTGGATTTTCCGCTTTTAAATAAAGTGTAGGTCGCTATTAGGAATGATTCCTTGGATTAATTAGTCTTAAATACGAAACTTTTTCTGTTTGCCACATTTGGTTGTATACAAAATTATAGGGCTAACATGCATTATATAAGATGACGTTCTTACTATACTTGTTTGCGAAAATAGGTAACGGAAAATGTATATATTTAAAATTTGAATCAAATTACTTATTCTGAGCGAAGTTATGACTGTTTGTTAAAGATATAGCCCAAATCGTTATTTATCGTAGCAACGGTATTAGACAACCGAAACTTAGTCCCCATTGTCCATTTTATCGTTACTTTTTCTTAAATCTCTCGGATGTTTAAATCCATTTACACCTCGACCATCTAATGACAGAGGTAGACCCAGGGTGGCTAGGTGGTTAAGACGTTGGCTCGCTAGCCTGGAGGTCGGGTGTTCGATCCCTGCATTGGCCGAGAATGTTCATCTGGATTTTCCGACGTGGTTTCCCCTTGTCAGTGGTGCATAAGTTCCAGAAGATATTTGTAGAAAAAATTCAGTTTTTCATAAAATTATTCTTCAACGTGGTATTACACTCCACAAGATGTCTTGGTCACTTCAGTGATGACCCGAATCACGGGTTTGTATGTGGTAAGAATGGTAGAGGGAAAGGGGGGGGGGCGTGTGTGTGTATGCTTTTCGTGAATACTATAAATTGTATATTTTCATTCCAATTAGGCTTATTTATTTTGACCATGAGACTAGTTACATGCACGAACGACTTCTAAAACGATATATTAATAACTACACCCATGCTAGACTCAAGTTGCATTGAACATGACTGTCGTGATAAAGACGAATGTTGCTGTTTGGCTTAGTTTGATATTTATTGCAATTTGGGCTTCACTGCGTGTAGATGAGAGAAAGGACGTGTGTTCAAATTGACTAATTTATGCGCATGTGTAATCGAGGCTTAAAAACCTGTTTTAAGACTTTCTTTCTTTCTATTACTACTCATTCAATAAAAAATTTACATAATTAATTATATAAAACAACATAATATACAAGATACGGCGTGGTTTAATTAAATGGATTTCCCGACAGAAAATATTTACACGTCAATTTGTACACGGAATCTCGGTTTATCGTGCCATCCGAACGACTAGGCGTTGTAATTTGCCAGGCTTTTCGTCCTATACCACTGAATAAGGGGGACCACGCCCGATGAACTTTCTCGGACAACACCGGGGGCCCTCAGGTTAGCGAACTAATGTCTTACTCACCGATATAGTGTAAGACTTTTGTAGAATTTTTGCTCTTTAAATTAATGATAGCATTATACTATATCTTTAATATATAACTTAGTTAACACATTCTATAGAAGTTGTATCTAATGCACTCAAATAATGAGTGACGGATTTGCACATAACAAGAGTTATAATTTTGTAAACATAGTTACTAATTGCATCAAGAAATGGTGATTAAAACCAAGTGGATGTTTTCATTATGACAAACTATGTTTTAAAGTGACTTTTGATATACAAGAACTTTTTTTTTCATTTTTAGTGTTTTTACCCATTTTTTGTTATTACTCCTTTATATGTAAATAACTTAATTAAATCAACCTGTCCATAATATCATGTTTTATGTATTGGACGTTAAATTTGTAATAAACAACAACGACGTCAGTATCTTCAATCCAGAAACGCGGATTAAAACTCACCGGACAAGGTCAGTATCACCGATCGAGAAACAGTGATTAAAACCAACCGGGAAAGTATACGTGAATAAGACCCATACTATATAAAATTTCATATGCCCTTGATTATATCGAATTTTCTTGTTTTGTTGCTACTTGTCAATTATGAGAACTAGATTAGATGAAATCAATTTTAAATGTTTGTATTTTAGATGCTTAGTAAAATTAGATGATGAACTATTCATTGCAGTGAAATACATTTAGCATATAAGATTAGGATAGTTAGTTGTAATGCTTTGAAATCTAGTGGCCAAGTGCATAGGCGCACGAGCCAGGGGGGCAAGGGGGGGGGGCAGCTGCCCCCCTAAATTTCGGGCAATCTGACTTTTCGGGCAGACGGTAAAGTGAAAACAAAAATTATTATTTCATCTAGTTGGCAAAATAAAGTGCCCGAAATCTAATAAAACACTAATTTTACTTTTCTTTTAAATAAATACTACGAATTTATACTGAATTTACTATGGATTAAAGCATTTTGTCTGGAGCCACTTTGTTCGACATTTTTCGGGCATCGATTATTATTTGTGAATGCAGCTGCAAGTCTGATTGGATGGTAGGAATTCGGGTCGGCATAGAGTGGGATTTCGGTTACAAAACCGACTGGAAACTTTGAAGTTGCTTAATTCACGGACTAAAATAGTAGAAAAAAACATTTGCGGAGGTTGAATTTTCAAAATTTTCTCGGTGAGCGATCCCCCATACCTGCGACGATTGATTGGTTGTTTAAGATTCGGGTAAGTCACCAAAGGTAGGCTATATTGGACCACACTGAATTTGTTGTATTCACGGGCTGGAATAGCAAGAAAACGCGTTTGCGACAGTTAAATTTTCAAACATTCATCGAGCTCGTACGCCTATGCATCACGTATAAATGTATAAATTTATATGATATTTCTAGGTTTATCTTGGGGAGCTACGGTGGCTAGGTGGTTAAGACGCTGGCTCGCTAGCCCGAAGGTCGGGTGTTCGATCCCTGCATTGGCCGAGAAAGTTCATCCAGATTTTCCGACGTAGTTTCCCCTTGTCAGTGGTGCAGAACGGAGGGCCTGGCAAGGACAGCTGTCTAGTCCTTTGGATGAGACGAAAAACCGAGGTCCCTTGTATATATTGGAATGCACGTAAAAGATCCCTTGGCAGTTGGAATTCGATATAAGAGTAGGCGATAGTGCCGCTGCCCGGGCAAAACTTCCCTCATAGCACACTGTATGGCGTATGCCCGTCTTCATTAGCCCAGTATAGGAGCAGAACAGTAGGACGTTAAACCCCATTTCATTTCATTTCAGGTTTATCTTGATAAGGGGACACTGGTGAAACGTGAAACGTCCTTTATAAAAGGCTTCGGGTTATTAAAAAATTTAAAAGTAACGTCATAAACCAAATGTATAAATTAACGCGTTTGCGGCCATCAAATTTTCCAAATTTTCTTTTGGGGGTGTGGCGGGAGGGGGGAGGCTACTATACGGAAAGCTCCGCGGAAATTGTTTCGGGCATTTCGGTCCCCTCAAGAAAATTATCCTCCATTTCCTTGCATCTGTAGCCATTCCAAGAGCTATTTGGCTAATATTTTCGTCTAAGTAAACGTTCGGAAATTGTTGAAAAAGAGCCTTAAAATCGAGCAAAAAAGCCAGTTGAACATGTGACTCGAAAATTGTCAAGGCGAGCAAGGCATTATGATGGGAAAAAAGACGAATCTAAACCCTAGCCACTTCACTATGTACTGTGTACTGTCCACACATGAAACAATGCTACATCAAGTTGCACTCATGCGCGTCAGTGATGCGCACGAGTGTATACGCCGCCGATCCCACAAGATGCTATCATTGATGTCTGTCTATAGTCACTCTATAGGATTAGGGCACCGTCAGCTAAACAACAAGAATTCGTTTGAAAGCGGAAGCATTAATTAGACCAGACTGGTGTGTTTGTGTCGATGGTTTGAGTCATTTGGGATCCCTGTAACGGGTTGGGAACGGACGTATTTGAGTCTCAGAAAAGGCACTTTCAGCAGTAAAAAAGGGCACTGTCGAAAATTAGGGGGGGGGGGCACCCCTCGCGCCCTCCTTTGGATCCGCCTCTGAATAGAACCCGTACGCCTATGGCCAAGTGACGCGACTCCACCGGATTTAATAATTCACCCAATTGTACGTCTTACATTATTTAGAAGCTTGACGACAACGTATCGCTTATTAAACTCATCTTATTAGATGTAAGATACACCAAATATTATAAATGAAGTCTTGGTTTCGTGAAGCTGTATTCAAGTGCGCCGTATGCTACTGTTGAGTGAAAACTTGATAATAATGGCGGATAAAGGAAGGTCTCAAGAGCAAATGGTTGAAAACGTCGGGAGAACTTTAATAGCAAAAATATTTTGGCAAAGTTGTATAAAATACGAACAATATATGCAGATATGCAGTGTTAGTGGTATAAGTAAACAAACTGATCTTTTTAAAGACCATCGCTACAAATGGCATGTTTCATGTACGATATAGGGAACATTTTGTTACATTCTAATAATATTTGTTTTAAAGCAATGTGTAAAGTATTACCCATTTAGGAATTAACTTTCTACCAGTGACCTCATCTTATCTGGTGAAAAATAAAACGCATGGACCAAATTCGTGTATAATAAATAGCAGATCAAGTCACGGATGAGCGGATACTATGATAATGTATCTCTTTTTAGTTTCTATAGTGTTTACTCAAACGCCCCATGGGCAAATTACAGTAATGGCCGCAGTAAGGTATGTCACTAA